ACATAGCTAAGCAGCAGGCAAGCTGTCCTTCAATACAGATCCAGTCCCATGCAGACCCGGAGCCCCCTTGCTTGTACGTTATTTGCAAAAGAGACAGAGTGACTCATGACGCTGAGAATTAGAGAAGCGTTGCTACTATTTTTTTTGGGGGGGGGGCATATGTTGCCTTCAATCCTATTGACCAGAACATAACTCCATGAGTAATCCCATTGGGATCTGCTTCCTGCTCCAGTCCAAAACAGCCCACAAGGGGCTAGAGAAGAATTCATTGCGTACAGGGCACTCCTGCAAACCTGGCAGGAGGCATGGCTACACACATTCTGGGGCGTGCTGTAAGCCATAGGTAGTCCTGAGGAGGCTAGCATAATTTAGTGCAGCCCCTCTCCCCCCCGGGACGCCCTGCATTACACTTGGGCCCCCACATCAGCCCAGATTTAGGAGGACTCCAAGGCAGTGTTGTGTCTTTTTCTCTCTGCACAATGATAATAGGAAGAAGCCACCCGGGGCACAGTTGAGTTCCGATAACCACGCTTACTAAATAAACACAAACATGTAAGGCGTAACTACACACGCACACTGCTGCGCCGGTTGGTTTCTAAAACACAGAACACGATAAGTACCACTAGAGGGTTCACAGGCTATTTAAAAGGGAGACAACACTCTTCTCATATAGGTGCCTTAAAGCCCATCCTCTAGGCTGCGCCAGAATCTTAGCCACTGGCTTTAATTGTTTGGATACAGATTGTTTTTCTAAAAGATCTGGTCTAGTTCAACAGGAATTATTCAGGGAAGTTCCATGGTCTGTTTTCACAGGAGGTCAGGCTAGATTATCACCATTATCCTTCTGTCTTTATAATCTAGGAACCGATGAATCAGTGGGATCACTGGTGGTCCAAGATATGGTTCACCAGCACTAGGGCTGAGTGGGAAACATTTCTCCCATCCCATCAGAATCTGACATTTTAGAAAAAAAATTTGTTCCAAATTGAGATGAAAAGTAAAAAAAAAAAATCTTAATTTTCCTGAACTGAATACCCCTCCCCCCAAAAAACCACATTGGTTTGGGTCAAAATGTTTCATTTTTATTTTGACTTAAAAAATTATTTTTAGTGTAAATTTACCAATGAAAAGTTGTTTCAACACAAAAATTAAAACTTTCTGGTCTGGCAATGTCAAAATGGGACTTCTGGAAAAGTCTGGAAACACTGATCAAAAATGTTGAGTCAATGTTGTGTTGAACCGGATACTGGTTTGTGAATGGTTTGGGAAACAACAAATCAACATTTTTTTCCATCAAAAATTCCTGATTGTCAGCAAGGGGATCACAATTGGGCCCTGTATGAGTTTATTCTCCAGTCCCAGATCCAGTGTTAAAATGAAAAAGGAGTACTTGTGGCACCTTAGAGACTAACCAATTTATTTGAGCATAAGCTTTCATGAGCTACAGCTCACTTCATCGGATGCATACTGTGGAAACTGCAGAAGACATTATATACACAGAGACCATGAAACAATACCTCCTCCCACCCCACTCTCCTGCTGGTAATAGCTTATCTAAAGTGATCACTCTCCTTACAATGTGTATGATAATCAAGTTGGGCCATTTCCAGGTCTTCTCACCCTCCCCCCCTCCCCCCCCAAACTCACTCTCCTGCTGGTAATAGCCCATCCAAAGTGACCACTCTCTTTACAATGTGTATGAAAATCAAGGTGGGCCATTTCCAGGTCTTCTCACCCCCCCCCCACCTCCATAGACACACAAACTCACTCTCCTGCTGGCAATAGCTCATCCAAAGTGACCACTCTCCCTACAATGTGCATGATAATCAAGGTGGGCCATTTCCAGCATAAATCCAAGTTTAACCAGAACGTCTGAGGGGGGAGGGGGGGTAGTCTGCGAATACAGACTAACACGGCTGTTCCTCTGAAACCAGTGTTAAAATGAAACCCCACAAGAGGAGGAAATAGACGTTCCACTGAAGGCAGGGATTGCACCTAGGGGCTGCGTTAACAGTTTGCCCGTGTTGGTCTCACTTTTGCCTTGAAAGCACTTCCTCCGAGTGGAGCTCTGAAGCACACTGTGTCTGCAAAGGCAGAGAGAGGAGAAGGGCAGGAGTGTCAAACAAACTAATGAGTCATCTGTAGATGTACACATAGAGATATTAACCAAAAAAGCGGCTTTGAATGCCTTTATAATGCCTCTGCCTCCATCTGTCTCTCCCGGGGGATGGTTCAGTTTTCCATGCTTAAAGGATTTGTAAATTCATTGCAAACAAGTGAAATGAGATCCACGCCTGCGCACACACAAAAAGCAGGGGGTTGATGTGCCATCTGTGCCAGACCTGCACCAATGCTAGCAAAGTACATTCCTACTGCCAATAAAGGGGGAGTAAGTGCACCAATAAAACCCACTGGCATGCTGATAATTAATTATTTCATTACCCGTGCCGGCAGCTGCAGTGGAACAGGGACCACCACCAGGAATGGCTTGGGTCAAACCGCAGGCACTGTGGTTTCCAGAAGTTCACGAAGGACACAATTCAAAACCCACCGATCTCCCCATAGGTGTCATTCCATTGGCTTCACTGAGACCTGAACAAGACTGGCTGTCTTCCCACATCTCTTGGCTTCTATTCCTCACTCTGTGACCTTGAGCAAGTCACTGCCCCACTCTGTCTCTCAGTTTCCCCATCTATGAAATGGGCATAATAATATTATTAATAGTATTACAGTGGAACCCATTGGTCTCAAGCAAGATCAGGCTTCTGTTGTGCTAGGCACTATGCAAACATGCAGTGAGAGAGAGTCCCTGCCCTGAAGAGTTTATAATTTAAAATAGATAAACAGGAGGAAAACTGAAACATTATTATCCCCATATTAAAAGTGGGAAACTGAAGCTCAGAGAAGTTAAGTGACTTGCCCAAGAGTACAGAGGGTGTCTATAGCAAAGGCAGGCGTTAAACCCAGATCACTTGAGTCTCAGTTCTGTGTCTTAACCACCAGAACACCCTTCTGTACAAGCTCTTAACAGTAGCTCATCTGGCCACAAGTGGAAGTAGATGGAGGCAAGGCATCATCCATGTGCTCATGGTGTGGCATATCCAGAGAGCAGAGGTTTCACTCTGCACCAGACTTGGCTCTAAGGGGAAGGAAGGATGAGCATAAAGCTAGAGGGGGCTTTATGTTCTGTATTTCTGAGAGCGACAAGGGCACAGGCTAGCCTGGAGAAGACATTTTTTAAAATCAAGATCGCTTAAAGGTAATCTAAGGGCCTGATACCATTCTCTACTACACTGGTATAAATCACTACTGACAGACTTCAGTGACATTGCACTGGTGTAAATCAGATCACTGGTCAAAATCAGGAATAACTATTGACTTCCATGGCATTACACCAGTGTAACTAAGATCACTAGTGCAAATCAGGAGATACACATTTTTTCTTTGTGAGCAACTGACCATAACCAACGTCTTATTTCATTCAACTCATTTCACTCATCCCACAAGCGCACTCCCTTTGAATTCCCTAGCTCTGTCTTAATGCTTCAGTGGGCCACCAAAGGCTCATTCATGCCTTTTGGACAGCACCAGCTATCCTTTTGCTGATTGGGTCCATAGCCTTGCAGTCAGCAAGTCACCTGCCTGACGAAATGCTATGACTGCCATGGAGATGTTCCAAGCTCATTTCATTGCAGGTCTGTCCTGGACTGTCAAGACACTCAAATGAGTTGAGGGGCAGGGAAACAAAAATTTGGAATCTGCAGAAGTGGGAATAATGTCTGTCCATGTTTTGGGAGCCCAGTAAGATGCGTTGAATGTACATGTTGCTCAGTACTCTGCCTCCCCGCCCCACTGGCTTGCTGTGCAGGTGAAAGCTGTATTGATTTGGCTCAGTTACAATTTCAAAGTAATTCTTGGCAGCAAAGGCAGCTGAGGACGACAGCTGTGTTAAAAGTCAGGAGGCAAATAATGCTATGAACTAGATAAACTAGGGACACCAGCCAAAAGACTGGAGCTGTCTACGAGCACCACATCAGAAAATTATCAGGATACTATTCACACTTCATCATTTTCCAGTCCTGGTACCAAACACATGTGTGTGTATAATTGGTCTTTACTGAGGACTCCGCTCAGAGTTAGGCAAGGAAGTATACTCAAGAGATCATATTTTCATACAGGGCTCCCGTTTTACACTTATATTGTCAACTCTTCAGGGCAGAGACTGTTTTTGTGTTATAGGATCAGGGACCCTAGCACAATGTGGCCCTGATCTTTGATTGGCACCTCTAGGAATAATAAATAATAAAATACCCTGAACACTGTTCAAATTATATAGTGATTAGTGACACAGTTAGATACATTAATTACTTTGACTTCTCTGTAATATCAATATTGCTTGAAAACTTTTAGGGTTACGAACTCTCCTGATGCTGTTTAAATACATCTCAAACTCTAATCTCTAAATAAAGACACCATGATTCCTGCTAAGTATGTTGGATTATTTATCAAGATAAAGTCAAGGATGCAGGGAAACAACATCTGTTCCAACACTGACTTCTAATAAAGATGGGAGAGATTGCTGAACAAGGTCTGAGCTTAGAAATATACATAAATAAATACAAGTGTCAGGTTGCTACTCAGCATTGTGGTTACAGATTTTTTTATTTTTTTACCTTGGTTGCTTGGTAATGAGAGAGGCTGTGAGATGATGTACCAGCCTTTGCACAGCTAGGTTAATGTCCTAGGCAGGATGCAAGTACAGTGCATGTGGGTGGTTAATTTGACTTTCATATACAGCTAGCATTTGTCTACATGGCCAAAATATTGCGGGAGAGCCAGATGTCTGTCCATTTATCTGTCCAGCCAGCCAGCCACATGTGCTTGCTCTGAGATTTGTTTTCCGGATCTCTGAGTTTCTCATCATTTAGGCTGCACACTAATTCACTATAGTATTTGTTTTCCTATTGATTCACCACTCACCAAGGTTATTTTTTTTCCAGCCTCTCCAATTCAATAGAGAAACCACATGGTTTTCTACTAAGAACCCAGTCCTGCAGAGTATTCAGCCACCCTTGACCCTCCACAGAACCAGTGGAGATGTGCTGTCTTTATAGCAGAAGATGGTACAGGAAGCGGTTTGCCTAAGGTCACAGAGCAGGTAAGTGGTAGACCCAGGAACAGAACGCAGGTGTGCGGAGTCCTACCCCCTCAGGCACACACAGCTCTTCACTGTGGGATGAAGCACAGTTGCATAAAACTTTTGGGATAAGGGTGGGGTGATATTGGGACTGAGACTGCTGCCTGGCATACCCCTCCCACGTGGAGCTACCAGTCTGATTTTGGGGAGGATGTCAGGGCTATACCGGGGTGACCTCTGTCCCCGTGGCCTAAACACCTCACAGAGAACTTTGTTGGCATGATTAAAGTGCCTGGCTCTGGATTAATCTTCGCCCCTCGCTCTCCACGGAGGAAGTCGCAGAGTTAAACCATTCAAAATGATAATTTGGGCAGCGGCAGTAATTCAGCCGGAGCGCACATCGTTTGCTCCATGGGGCTCGGGCAGCTTTGCGAAGCAGATACCAACTCACAGGTGCTCATGCACCTCTATTTATTTCTACAGCAGCATCCGCCAGCCACAGCCTCCCCAAATGCTCCACCCTCAAGCTGCCGTGCAAGTACTGATTTGGAGAGGAGATTTAAAGACTCTGGGCCTGGTTCACCATGGCTTTGCTCCAGCTACGAGCTGTTGTAACGGCAGTGAAATCAATGGTGCTGTGCGGACAGAAAGCAGGAGTAATAGTGGTGAATTGGAAGCACTGACTTCAGCGCGAGTTGCATCTACAAACAACAGGGCTGAATCCAGTACTCAGGGTCTGGGGAAAGAAAGGAGAAAGATTTTCAGAGAGATGGTGCAGCACAGTTGTCACCAGTGGGGAGCACATGCAGCAAAGAGAAACCATGTGGATCTACTGGACTAGCAACCAGGGGAATCAGTTATTGTCCAGGCTAAGTGGCTTTAAACAAGTCACTTCCCTCCTTTTTCTCTCCTGGTTTATTTTTTTCCTAGCACAATGCTACTGTAATACTCAACTGAGGGTGGTGAAGACCAAGGTACACACGTCAGTTTTCAGGTTTGACAGTCCTTTCCCAACTTTTGGTGAACTGGTTCTTTGCAGACAGACCGTGTTTTTCCATTATTTTACCAGATTTGGGTGCACGAATGCTAATGAGAGTGTGCTTTGTATTTGGCAAGCCCTTGCCCCACCTGAAGACATTGCTGGGAGGTTTTCCACTGGGCAAGGCTCTGTGGGCTGTGAATGTCCTCTAAGACCCTCGCGGGGTGACTTGTTACGTATTGAGGGAGAGAGCATCTGCAGGGAGTGTTTTCAAAATAAGCATCTTGAGGCAGGCTCCTATGCTGCCCCTCACACGTAGGAGGAACTCCCTGAAAACCTCCACAAAGCCACCCCACTGTCCTCCTTCAAGTACCTCCTAAAACCTTGCTTTTGCCAGGATGTCTGCAAAAAACTTGACTCCAGTTAGGTAGTCAGGGTGCTGAGACTCCAGCCTATCATGCTGCCGAATATTGTGTCCTTGTGCTTCCCCATCTGTCAGTCTGTGTCTACCTGTCGCCTTGTGTCTTATATTTAGATGGCAAATTCTTTGGGGGCACAGACAGTCTTTTTGCTCTATGTTTGTACAACACCTAACACAATAGGGTTCTGCTCCAGGACTGGGGCTTCTTGGTTATTTATTTGTATTGCACAAGTACTAACCCAATTCTGAATGTGTTAAGGGAAAGTAAGGAATAAAGCTGGGTTGGGAGAAGTTCCTAAGACCCTGTTCATTGGGTTACTTGGCTTCAGGGCTCTAAACACAACATCCCACTTAAAATCTGCATGAGCAGACAGAGTAGCTAGTTTTGAAAGGGTGTTGGACTATAGGGGAAGCGAGCACAAGCCCCCGTGAAGTGCGTGCCCCCCCCTCCGTGCTGTGACTAAGCCCAGATACAGAAAGGTTGCAATGGAGTTAGTCATTTTAGCTCAAGTGACAGATGTCATGGGTCCAGGGCTTGTGGTAGAGGTTGATTTCAGCACAGAGTCCCATGGATACAGCTGCCACCACTGCTAATTTTCAGTTTTACCACCGCTTAAATAAATAAATGAAAAAAAAAAAGCAGGCTGCCTCTTTAAACCTATTTCCTATTAATCTGCTATTAAAATACCAGCCAGAGGGCAAAATGGAGGGCTCCATTCTTCATTCGGATAGCAAGGGACCTAAATTGCTCCACTCTTGCAGCTGAAACAAGGTTTTTGTCTAACTCTAGCAGCTGACCTCTGATCCTTCCTTTGTCCTGTCAAAAGGAACGGAGGTAAAGCTTAGAAGGAATTCCTCCTTCACTTCCCAGCGTACTTAGTATTAGTGGACAAGCGTCCAAGTTGTTCCACATCCTCACTCTCTGCAAACACATACAACACAAGGAGAGGGGAAGGGGAAAAATAAGCTTTGGTGTGGTCTGAATTGTTGATTTTTTTGTTCAGCATCGATTGAGAACCATTAATGAGCAGATTTCAGCAAATGCATTTAAGTATTTGCAAGTGGGGAAGGATGGTGTGGTTAAAACACTGGATTCACCTTGGGCAAGTCATTTAATCTCTCTGGGCCTCAGCTCCTCCTGTGTAAAATGTAGATAATTTTGCTTTCTCAGTGATAGAATATGACAGTGATGGGTGCCATATATAGACTGAATTAGACAATATTTCGATTCTGCTGTCCCTTACAATGATTTTGTGCCAGGGCATCTCCACTGAAGTCCCTGGAGTTACTTCTGAGTCACACCGGTGTAAGCGAGATCAGAATCTGATGTTCAGAGAAAATTAAGTGGTCTGCCCAAAGGCATGCTGTAATTCATTGTCCAAACCAGGATTAGAGATCAAGAATTGCTGGCTTCTAGCCCTGTAATAGGCACGCTATCTCAAGGTATGGTCATTATACCGTCTTCCACCACTAAAAGGCATCCCGCTCTGGGGGGAAATGTAGCAGCTGTTTAACATACAACATACACATAACCAGTTACGTAGGAAAGTGAGGAAGAATCTCATATCCAACTGAAACTGGAGGGTAGGACATAATTACCTGAGTGTATAATTTGGCCATGAAATCTTTAATAAACCCAACATCCTGGACATTTATGGTTAAGTCTCATCCCAAAGGACAGCATCTCCAGTGCACCCTAGCCCCACATGATTCTATCCCGATTCAGAAGAAAGAGTGCCACCCACTAAAACTCCCCCACCACTCCCCCACCTGATCAAAGTCTTCCTTGAAGCTCCCTGACGCATCCCACCCTTGCAAAACTTGAGGTCCGGTGGGTCACATCCCAGTGTGGTATGGATGAGGCAGGGGAGCACAGGAGCAAGTTTTCTTCCTGGCACACCCAGAAGCTGGAAAGAATCCTTGAGCATTTTGTCAAGTGGCAAAGAAATGCCACCTCAGCCTGAACAGGGCTGCAAATCAGCCTTCCCCTTGCAGTATATACATATGGAATGAAGTTTATTTATGAGAGGGAAGGAACGTATAAAGAAGAGTTATGATGTCCAAGAGGAACTGATTTATGGAATAGCAAACTTCAGACTATCGTTCAGCTGGGGGCATGACAGGTGGCCATGAATAAACCCAAAAGTTTTCCTGCCTCCGGTAGCCAGTGGCCAAATTCTTTGGCAGGTTAGAAAAATCTCAACCTACCATGAGCTTTAATCGCTGAGAGAGAAAAGACGTGTTAGACAAAAATTGCCATTCACTAGTAAAAAGCACTGGGTTTTCCCTACAGTCTCGTAGCAGATCACGTATTCCATATACAGCTAAGTAGGAGCAGCCCTAGTTATCTGGCCAACAGAGTCCAATGAAGAGGGGAAAGGCAGACGTGGGTTCCTAGCTATAAACATGTTGGTAGCACTGGAACAATGCTGTTGGCAATTTATTTTTCTTTAGAACCATAAAAATTGCTGAATTAGGTACTGACATCAGTGCTCCTGTTGCTGCCTGGACAGCCATTGTCTTAGCATAATGCTTTTCTGGTGGAGAAGGTAGCACCTAATGGTGTCAACCTGCCGTGCTTTGCGGTCTTGGGCTACTAAGATTCCAATTCCAGACCTTATCTGCATTCAGGTGTATGGCATAACATCTTGTATTGTCCACTGCGGCTTGAATATCTGCATTTATCATTGCCTGGAGAAGTGCCAGCCAACCTGTGCTAAGTGTATTCCCAGCAATGATGCACAGAAAATGCCAAATCACAGTGACCAACAAAATCCAACAACTGAACCCACACTCCATCCACATGGACCACAGCAGTTCTTAGAGACGGGCCAGAACCGGAACCAATACGTAGCATTTGTGTGATAGCAAAAGGCTTAATTTGCTGCCCTTTAAGAGTCTTTCCATTGCCTTTGGATCAGAATCAAACTACCCTAGCTCTAGCTGTCTCCCTCTTATTCCCAATTCTCTCCGTTTCTACATCTCTTGTAGGTGGTCTGCATTTTTGAGCCTACTTCTGGCTCTACCTGTTGGTTTTAGCTACCAAGCCCAGAGCTTCCTCCCATGAGCCATGCCATGAAAGTGTGTGGGAATATGGACAATATTTATCGATGGGTCTTTCTGGGATAATCATCATGGTGTCTGGGTATCTAACAAACAATGGATGACACACTTGAGTGGTAGGGCACTAATATCACAGATAGGGAACTAACACAGGTTGATGAAAAGACTGGTTATGCTACCTTTACTCCCATTGACTACCACTTACTCCCAAGAGTAGTCCTAGTGATTTGAACAGGACTACCTTGGAGGGTGCGTGTGTGTGTTAAGAATCAAGCCTTAAACAACTTGCACAAGGTCACACAGGAATTTTGCAACAACGATCGAACCCAGGTTTCCTGAGTCCCAATCAAGTGCCTTCATCACAGACTAGCATTCTTTTCTAAGCAGGGGCAAATATGATGCACGGTAGCAAGTTTTTTTAGTATCATCCCTTAGGTAATAAAGTCCTGAAGGCAGGAACTGGAAGTAAAATCCTGGACCCTTCGAAGTCTATGGCAAAACTCCCACTGACTTCAATGAGCCAGGACTTCATCCTATAACTAATTATTTGTTGGAGCAGCTCTGAGCACATACCACTTAAACTAGAAATATGTGACCACTGAATTTTGGGACCTGGATCCAAATCAAACCATTGTCACAGGGATGTGGGGAGAAGGGGAAGGATAATGGCTTCTTGACACAGCTTTTGGCCATCTCCACTGAATCGCCATGACAATGATAAGCAACATCACACCCTCCACTTCCTGTCCAGTTATGGACTGTGGACTAGATCCTGATCTCTGACAAAGCAGTTTCCATTGCATTCCATTGGACCCAGGGTACAGGCACTTGTCCCTTCTTTGCACTAGGGCTTCCCCTGGTGAAAACGTTATTTCATTTGATGGTACCCAAGGGAATCTGCTTGTAAATTACACTTCCAAGTGTAGTCAGGGGTCTGGTATGTGTGCAGAAAAGTGCTAACACCCCACGAGGGTCCTACGTAACACTGCAGTCATACCAGTTCTGATCCCGTCTCCGCCCACGTTAGTTTAGTTCAAACCCTTTCAGCATTGACGGGGCCCCGAATGGGCTGCAGCAGCATGGGCTCAACTGATCCATCCAGTGTAAGCCCACTGCCCTCCTGCCATGCCCCTGGGTGTCCGTCAGGAACCGCTGCACGGTGGAGCTACTAGGTCTCTGCAAAACTGATGTGAGAGAGGAACTAGGCCCCATAGAGGGGACTCATCTCTGCTCTGCAGTCACTTTATGCCAGCTCCACTGGCTGCAAATCTGCCAGAAGGCTCCTACAGGGAATAAATCCTCTTGTAGTGAGTCCTGGACATATGCAGAGCAGCTGTTGCCAACTCAACATCACTCCCACCAGGAGCCCCACAGTGCAGTGAGGCATGGCTGGGTGAGAAGAGTTATGGCTGGTGTATTCCTGTGACCCAGTTACCAGAACAGCCCATAGGAGCCATCACCATGAGCAAAAGTTAGGGCAGTCCCATAGGCTTCTCAGACCTGTGCCAGGAACTGAACCAGCACATGGCAGAATTGAAGGTAGAATAGCCTCCCCTGGTTTATTTCAGCCCCAGTCTCCAGAGCTGGAAGCCCAGTGCACTAACGCACCCTGCCGATGGGTGGAAAAAAGTGACGGTTGCAATCTGTGCCTCTACACGGGCAAGCCCTTTGGAATTCTAATTCCAAGTGGCTTGAGCTGCTCCTCTGTGTGGCAAAGGCAATTGACTAATTAACGCCTGTACATTCCAGTAATTGCACAGCTTGCCAGCCTCATTCACAAGATCGCTTTGGATGCGATTAATTTTTTGCTTATGAAAGGTGAAGCCAGTAACAAACCTGTTCGCTTCATGTCTCCCTCCCCTCCTCTGTTCCCAATCACTCAATAACCCAGCAGCACAGCAATCTCTCCACTTCACTGACTAGCCAGGACTGCATTTTTTTAAGAGGTGAAAGTACAGTTTAATTTCTAAAATCACCCAGCCGTGGCCTCAGACTATGAATTAGGCTGATAATGAAATATCCATGCTGCATATTTGATGATATGGAGAGCTGCTGATCGGCCAGTCTCATTTATAACAAGTGCACATTGACACCAATTTGATCTAGTCATTCCTGAATATTGGAGCGGCAAAGTTTGCAGAGGGGAAGCTCCTGATTCTCAACAAACAAAGCAGTGCTTAGTCCCGATTAATGTTATGATCCCTCCTGCTGAAAGAGCCCATTCATTACACTGAGCAAACAAGAGAATGGAGCAGAAGGGACTTTGGGCAGACAGCCTGCAAATGAGGTCTTCTGTTTGCTGGGTCTTCCCAGTTTACAATGGCATTAAAAAAGCGGGGATGGGGGGGGGGGGGCAGAAGCATTTTTCAAAAAGAGCTTTGTTTCTCAATTTATAGCATGGCATCCGGCAGCACACAGCAAAATGAAATAGCTCCTTGTTATCTCTCCCCCAAAAAGAGACAGGCTGTACAGGAGAAATAGATAATTTCTATCCGGTTTTTTATAGGCTTCATAAAGTGCATTGTGCAGACATGTAAAATATATGTGGCCACATATAAATATGTTTAAAGGCAGAATTTTAGAAACAACCTGTTGGTCTTATTTCAAAGAGAGTATTTGGCACAAAATTGCTGTAGCAATGTTGCTTAGCATCTATGCAACCCCTTTTGCTAGATAAGTTCATGGAGAATGGGTCCATCAATGGCTATTAGCCAGGATGGGCAGGGATGGTGACCCTAGCCTCTGTTTGCCGGAAGCTGGGAATAAGCGACAGGAGATGGATCACTTGGTAATTACCTGCTCCGTTCATTCTCTCTGGGGCACCTGGCACTGGCCACTGTCAGAAGACAGGATACTGGGCTGGATGGACCTTTGATCTGACCTAGTGTGGCTATTCTTATCCTCTTATGTAAACTTGGTCTTGCAGTGCCATCCTGGGCTGGCATACAGGCCACGTGAGCTCTGTTCCTGACTCGGCTACAGAACCACTGTGAGAACTTAAGCAACTTGGTTGATGTCCCGCCGATTCTGTGAGAACTTGGATGATGAGGCTCCCCCACCTCTTTAAAGTGGTCTAATATCTTTAGGGGGAAAAGGGTTGTATGTGTCTTCTAGGATTAGTATCATCAACCACCATATATTCAAACAGGGTCAAGGGTCATGCAGCTAGCCTTGAAATTCTGTCACTTCTGCCTGGGTATCAGCCCAATTTGTACAAACAGAGAGGCAGGAGCATTTTGGCAAAGGATAGTGGTGAAAATCCCCACTCATACTAAAGGGCTCATGGGATCACTGATTCCACCCAGAGCAGACAGCAGCCTGAGTCTAATCTTGCCCAAATGGCCTTCATAGAGTATATGGCAGAACTCCTGGGGAGTCTTATCTAGTAGCTAGATCAGCTGATTGCGAGTCTGGGATCCTGGATCCTATTCATGACTTTGTCAGTGATTTTGCTCAGCGTCCTTGGTTAAGTTAATTAGGGTCAAAATTTCCAGACCTTGAACCAACACACCACA